AACCATTTTCCATCACGCCACTCGCACATCCAAGCTTACGTCACTTGTATTCGCAAGCGGTCACCCATCCAGTTGCTTAAGTTCCGTGCTCGAACGAGAATCGGTATTTCAACGTGATATGGCTGTAAGTATATACATGGTGTTCCATAAGGATTGGATGCAGGAAGTATCTTGGATTATCAAGAGAGTACCAAATATAATTGTTTCATAACTGATATACAAGAGTTCAACATACTATCTAAGATTTTGCCATTTCCTACAGGTATCTGAGGTCTCGTTTGCTGACGGTGGATACTGTTTGTGTTTGAAATGAGAGAGCGCGCTCGTGTAAGTTCTCTTCGTGATGGTGACTATCTCAGGCATGGAATATTCAAATCTAAGATGATACGTTGAACTCTTGTATATCAATTATATAAGAAATATATTCAGAACCCTTTATCATTTTTATAATCCAAGATACTTGCATTAATAATGGGTCTTTATTATATAATATATATATATATATATATATATATATATATATATATATAATATATTTTCTAAACGTATATTTTAATGGACCACCTGATTTTTAAATTTGAAAGCTCTACATGTTATTTTTTTTTTTTACTTTCGCGCGTGTTTGAGCACTTTTTAATTTACTTTTCCTTTCTGATTCAACCCAAACCATTAACAACTTTATATATATATATATATATAATTGCCCTATATGAAAATAATTTGGGATTTTTTTTTTATAATACTATATATATATATATATATATATATATATATATAAAAATATATATAAAAAATATATATATATATGTATATATATATATATATATATATATATATATATATATATTATATATCTTAACTTCTCTCTCTCTCTTCTCAATATTTTCATATATATATATATATATATATATATATTTAAATAAATAAATACGCAAACAAACAAAAATTAAACAAAGTGCTCAATATAACAATAAATGATTGAATTAACACATATTCAATTGCATGGATATATAAATATGTGACCCTGGGTTTATGTATGTATTTATATGGTATATCAGACAAAATCTTCATTTCGTCTGACAATTGCAATAATTTTCCATGTAATAAAATGTTTAATATCTAAAAAAAGGAAAACTAATTTTTTTTTTCCGGGTTTTCAGGTAAGACGTTTAGCCATCTTGACTCAATTTATCGTAAGAATCACTGAAAAATACTTTGAGTTATTCAGCTAGAAAGAGAACAGGTTCAGATCGTTTTGTGTGAGTCCCACAACTGAGCAATGGTGAGAGGAAAAAGATCATCCAAGCCTTTAGTAATGGTTGCGTCATTCAAACTTTGGCTTCCATCTTCAAAGTCCATATAAGAACCATCTAGAGAACGGTGAATAAGTTTTAAAAAGAGGGAACGGTAGAGAGGAAAACTGGATCAGGAGGTCAAAACAGGAAGAGGGGTCATAATTTCAACTTAGTGCTAAATACATTCTTATTGTTCAAAGTAGTGTCCAATAGTGTTATAAAAACCTCGGAAGATACAATCATTTCTAAGTTCAAAACTTAATCTAACAATTGGACAATTTTGTTGTTACAATTAATGGATATTAATTTATATATATATATATATATATATATATATATATATATATATATATATATATATATATATATATATAGTTTATGCAAATTTAGGTAATCCGTATGGGTAGACCTGAGGAGGATGATATCCAGAGAGCTCATTTCATTTCATTTTTTTGAAGTAAAAGTCTGATGATCCAGAACCCTGTTAAAAGGGTTATGATGAAATAACTTTTTTACATGGAATCAACGTGGTCTGTCTTTTATTCAATATATATATATATATATATATATATATATATATATATATATATATAGAGAGAGATTGAGAGAGAGAGAGATGGGTATGAAAAAATATACATATACGCACATATACATGTTTTACATATATATATATATATATATATATATATATATATATATATATATTATTTTTCAAAAAATTTGTTAAATTTTAAATGCAATTATGTTGTTTTCATTCATTTTAAACAACATAATTGCATTTTAATGATTTTTTTTCTCCAGATTAAATTTAACATTCTACTCATCTAAATCCATTTAAATTTGTTAGTTAACACACACACAACACACACACACATATATATATATATATATATATATATATATATATATATATATATTTCTTTCAATGTTATAAATACAGTGCTCAATGTTATATAACAAAGCTATTAAGTATATTTTAATGAATATACATAATAAACCAATATTTGAGTAGATGCCCTGTTTTTATTATTAAACAGTATGTTTATTTATTTACATCTACCGGCCTGAAATATATGTTAGAAATATATTCGAACCTGCGTCCTTAGTATTTTTCCTTTTATTAGATATGTCGCGACTTGAACTCTTGACCACATATGACCTCTTAATCAAACAAAGCTCAAATAGTGCTTTTGGACACATATCTTTCAGGACAGTAGATGTAATTAAATAAATATACTGTTTAATAAAAAATATAGAGCATCTACTCAAATATGAGTATCCATAACAAAAAATTTGAAAAATATATATATATATATATATATATATATATATATATATATATATATATATATATAAATAAATATGTATATTAAACAGCTTTGTTTAAATAATTTAGATATATCATGTCGATTATTTTTTGTTGTGATCCTTTCAAGTTCACAATATTAATTTTTTGCAAACTTAAAAATTCAGTAATAAAATTTAATTTTTTTGGACAAAATAGTTTTTTGTTTTTTAAAGTAAATTCTCAAGATTTTTTCTTTTGGTATTTTCTTACGTTTTTTTGCAAAATTTCAAGAAATTACTGAACAAAATCTAATCGACACGATATATTCTAAATTATTCAACAAAACCTAATATGAAAATATGAACCCATACACACATTATGCACACAACACACACACACACAACTATATATATATATATATATAAATATGATCTTTTTTTAAAGTAAATGCCCTGTTTATAATAAAACAGTATTAAACTTTATCCCATAAATATAGCACATCTTTAGACTATATTTCTTCATATATATATATATATATATATATATATATATATGGTCATTCTATTATATATATATATATATATATATATATATATATATATATATATATATGTATATGTGTGTGTGTGTGTGTGTGTGTGTGTGTCCCAAAATTCATCTATTATATATATATATATAAAAAATCTCTACCTAAAAATTAAAAATGCATTTTAAAAATGAAAAATCTTTCTTGAAACTTTTATTTTAGTTTTTGATTCCAAGCTAATAGATTAAATTTAATATTTCAATAAGCAAAATACTTTGCTGTATTTCAAAACTAATTTAAATTGATTGGAATTATTTTTTTTAAAAAATTTGCATATTTAAAATCTGACAAATCTGTCATCAACATTTCTCTTTATTAAAAAATCTTTCAAAAATAAAATATACTTTTCTGAAACCTTATTTGACGAAGATTTGTTGATTATAAGTTTAAGTAATCGGAATTAAAATTTAAATATCTTGATAGATTTATCGAAAAATTGATGTTTGGAATTTTTAAATAAAGATCACATGACTCTAAAAATTAATTGGACGCCATTTTTATATAATTATTTTTTGTAGCCAGTAATCTTTATTTTTATTGAATACAATGTTCCTTTTTATCTAATATTTTTTGAATTTTAACTATTTTTAAAATTTTATAAAATTTTTTCTTACGAAGACCGTTTTATTGAAAAATTACCAATAAATTTTAAATTTACTATAGATTACGCTTTTATTTTCTGATAATGTCGTGTATGAATGTACGTATTCAAAAAATATCGGCACGTTTATATACACACAATATAATTCAAATTTTTTTTTTTTTTTTTTTTTAAAAATATTGGGGCGGGGTTTCGAATTGTATTAAAGCTTTTCCATTTATAATTAGTAAATATAGTTTTTAATATGACAATATTGCCTAACCGCTACAAATTAATACGAATTTTTAAAAGATTTAAAATTTTATAAATTATTATAATTAAAAGTTTTAAAAAATGAATATAATTCTTGTAATAATTCATTATTCATCGATAAAATGTTTTCTTAATTTATTTCGATTTTATTTATAAAAGCAATTAAGAGATTTTCTAATTGCTTTTATTGCTTCTTTTATTTTACGATTGAGAACACTCTGTAACTGATGGTTCCGTTTGTCAAAAGAATCATTAAAATTCTTCAAGGACTTGTCCTTAAAATTAAATATGAACATTAAGATACACAAAAATGAATTCATCGAAATTTCATAAAATTAAATAAGTGGAGGTTAACAAAAGGTAAAGAAAAAAAATTTTACCAAAATTTTCTAAAAAAGAAAAATTCTTAAAATTATTTAATTCATTTGTGAATAAGCCCTAAAAGTTTCATTTCAGTCAAACAATTTTTTTTTTGCAAGAATTTCAAATTAAATGTGTTTTTCACGAAAAAAAGAAAAGAAAAAGAAAAAAAAAAAAAAACAACTCACAAATTTCCCATGCCAATTTATGATAAAGCGTTGACGAAAAAAAAACAAAATTTATAACCAAAATTTTGAAGGTTCTAAACTGGATTAAAAAAATATAATTTAATAATTAAAAAATCCTTTGGTCTTTCCTCTTAATAATGACAAAGATTTTGTCGATAAGACGTACTTTTTACTTAGTTTGAGGCACTTTTTCATATGTATGCTCATTTTTTTATCGAACTTATAGGTACCCATATATATATATATATATATATATATATCAGTGTGTGTGCGTGCGAGCGCATACTCACAAAGAGTCTGGTCTATAATCTATTTGTAGCTACAATTATTGAAATATGCATGTCTTATCGGGTTTGCACGTTGTTCCAGAATCTTTTACACTCCTGATGCTTGGCTGTGTTATAAGGTTGTACATTACACAATAAATGTTCTAAATAATTACGGATAGATAGATAGATAGATAGATAGATAGATAGAAGATAGATATAGATACATACATACATACATACATTACATACATACATCTGAACAGAATGAGATAGATAGATAGATAGATAGATAGATAGATAGATAGATAGATACATACATACATACATACATACATACATCTGAACAGAATG